CACATCAAAGTTTGAATTTCTGGTGGAGTAGTCATGAAGAGGTCTTGCTGGAAAAATATATAGGTGTTTACGAATTAAGCAAACATTTTCTAGAATCTTTAGAGAGGGAAGTTTTGAAGTAGTTTTTGCAATGTGTTATTGAACTGAGGCCAAAAAGATACCGTTTTGCTCTTTTTGTAATTTAAAAATATCATCAGATTGGTCAGCTGTACTAAATCCCCAAAAAGAAAGACCATATCGAATATAAGACTCGAACAAAAAAAAGTATGTTATTTTGGAAGATGTTAAATTCATTTCCTTCTAAACAAGTCTTATTGCATAGCAGGCTGAGGCGAGTTTCTTACTTAACAAATCGTTATTAAGGGAGCATTTAAGGTTTCTGTCTATAAAAATACCAAGAAATTTTACAGAATCAATTATACTGATCTGGCTATCCAGATCATGGATATATGTCTTATCCACGTTAAAAGAAAGTAAATTAGAGTCGGTCCAGGTTTTTATTTTAAGTAGATCATAAATTATAATTGCATGAAAAGTTGCAATATTAGAGTTCTTACAGGTAATACTGGTACCATCAGCAGGTCAAAAGGACTAAGGTACCTTTAGATTATAACTGTAGCAACCACAAACTCGAAAACCTAAAAATTTTTACATATATATCAACTTTACGACGATACTACAATTGTACAGTGCATACAAGCAACCAGAGATCAGCAAGTTTATAAAAATATCTAGAAGGTTTTGTATTAGGTTTTCAAAGTAATAAAAATTTAAAAGATATATCAAAGGTTTGCTAGTGCAATGTCATTTTTAAAAAAATCCAATATCTTTGACATCTAGCCATACAATATACAGTGTGATCACTATTTTCAAAATTTTATACTTTTTTATATGAAACGCCCTGTATATTATTATTCCATTATATTAGATGTTTTTTTTTAATATCAGATTGCATATAACATTGTACATAAATAGCAAAGGCATTTTGTATACGAATTTTCATATTATTGAAGTGTATACAGCATACCGTGCTGTGGAGTCGTCGTGGTATATTATATTCTTGATGCACCCAAAAAAAATAGTCCAGTTAAGTAAGTCCTGGGTATCTTTTGGAATTCCCAAGGAAACAACATTCCCCTACCAAGCCACTGTTAAAACAACTCGTCTGTTAAAAACCCATAATACCCATTACCAGTAACCGTTCGGTCGAAGAAATAAGTACCAGTAATATACAATCCAACGATATTTCCACAAATATTCAACGATCACCTATTCTGGAACGTATCTCTAAAGAGATTTTTATTACAATAATAATGATAATCATGTCCGTTCTCGAACTCATTGCAATGAAATGTTTCACAAATATTTAATTTTGTTCGAAAATCATTTTCGTGTAATTCCTGACGCAACCACATATTATATGGGTGAAGTTTGATTTTTTTTATAATTATTCGAACTGTCATGTCATCATTGAATTTAACTCTGTATTATAGCTCAATTCGCGCGTAGTTATTGGTGGATGCACTATTACATGCACCATAACTCGAAATTCAATTTCATTGGCATTTTTAGTATTATTGGTTTTAAATATTGGACATTATCCGAAGGAACAAAGTTTCTCGAAACCTTTTATTTTTGTATGATATTATAAGGATACCTCTGATTATACACTTTTGAAAATCTAAGGCATTCGTCCAATATAAACGTCATTATCAATTCGATGGTGTAGCACACAAATGTTGTAAGTGTTAAAGTTACTGTTTTGAGAAAAAGCGGTTTGAAGTTAAATTAAATCACGAATTTCTAAGAAAATCACAAATTATCTTCAATAACGCCAAAAGGCAATCAAGTTTAATAACATTTCAAAAAAATGGCATATTTTTTTTGTTAAATACTTTGTTATTTACCACCTTTGTGCATAACCATTACTTGGTAAATTGGTTCAGATTATGTTACGGTGAACAGATGATAAATCACAGGTTTTGATTCAAATAACAACAAACAATTATTATTTTTTCTTTAAATGAAATAACCAAATGTGTTAAAAGAAGAATTAAAACAAAATTTGTATTTTAAAAAAAACTATTCGTTGTCATCCGGTAATAATGGTTCATTAGTAACAGGAATGTCATTTATCAAATAAACGTAATCTTGTGGAATAATACCACAATTTAAAAGAGATAAGAGATCCTTCTTCTTTTTTGGGATACCGGTAATCTGTGAAAATATTTTTGGGTTAGTGCTTATGACTCCCAAGTTTGTAGTCTTTCTTTTAGTTTCCTTGCATCAGAAACATCTATGGTTAAAAAAGTATCATCATACAAATTGTATTTATATTTAATGAACAAAGGATCTTTTTTCTCAAAACGAATCCATTAAAATTTCCAGCAACTGAACCTTTTCTTTATCTATATATTAAGTATTGTTAGGAGCCATAAAGTCAGCAAGTTTCTGTAGATCATAAAAATCGTTTAAATTTAAATTATGTACACAGTATGGTTAAGGTTTTACTCTTGCAGCTGAAATTAGCACAGACCACTCTGTTGTAGAATAGATTTTTTTATGCTTTCTTGCTCTTTCGATTGTGGCGTTCATCGAATCAGCTTCCAAGTAGGAAGTCTCCATAAATTTTAAATCGAAAACTTCCAAATGTTTAATTGTATTTACTGCATAGAGCAATGCGGCTGACACATACTTATTCCTGTTCTGGCCTTCATATGTATCACTGAATGTAGAAACATGCGTCACAGTTTCCAATATGCTATACAAGTATTTAAGAAGACACGTTCCTATTTCTGTACTGCCTTTTTTCCCATGGGTTTCGTCCCATACATAATAATGACCTGTTGCATCTGACGCATCAAAAATTGTATAATTATATACATTTAGCTTTAACTTATAAAATATTTGATTATCTCTCGCAAATGGCACTGACAAAATTGCTTGTAAATGTACACCTACATTGGAACCGTATTTCTCCCGATCCGATATCGAGCGACGTCGGATTGAAAACAAACTTAAGGTATTAAATCATAGTGCCTATACTGCTTCCGTGACGAAGCAGTATAGGCACTCTGATTTCATACCTTGAGTTTGTTGTCAATCCGACGTCGGCCGACGTCGCCAGATATCGGATCGGGAGAAATACGGTTCCAATGTAGGTGTACACTTAGTCAAATGTTGCGGCTCTAAAAGTTTGTCCTTTTTCTCTAGCGGCTTAGCCTTATCTTCAGATTTCATCTGCATTGCATCCTTTTCTCTCTTTTTGTGACTGTCAAATTTCTCTTTTAATGGCTCCTTGTCTTTAGCAATATTATAAGCATTACACTTAAAAGAGTGGTCCTTTTTCGGAATGAAAAAATCATTTGCGGGTTCATCTTTGTGGAATATCTTCTGATTAACAAATTTGAAAACCTTGGTCACATTTCGATCTTCACAGAAGCCAATTTATAATCTGTACATTTAGGATAAATTTAAATCTGAAGACAAATACGATTTCATTGAATCCCGCCGACAATAGTGTGACTTTACACATGGAAAACTATCAATGTGATCCTTGACAAGCAATACATCTTGTTCCTTTGTAACAATATGAGGTCTTTTTCTTTTATTAAATCCAATGTATGTGTGAGTATTACTCACGTGGTAATGTTTGCAAGTATGGTTCACAAAAAAAAGTTAAACACACTCGAATTCTCAAGCCTTCGAAGTTTTTTAAATAAGTGGACACCTACATTGGAACCGTATTTCTCCCGATCAGATATCGGGCGACGTCAGCCGACGTCGGATTGAAAACAAACTCATGGTATTAAATCATAGTGCCTATACTGCTTCCACGACGAAGCAGTATAGGCACTCTGATTTAATACCTTGAGTTTGTTTTTAATCCGACGTCGGCCGACGTCGCCAGATATCGGATCGGGAGAAATACGGTTCCAATGTAGGTGTACACTAAAAACCCCTTGAAGTTTTACGTCTTGACTGTTCTACTTGTTGTTATCTTCTTTTTATTAGAACATCGGTCACTAATGAACTTAGGTGTAATTTTTGCTTATCATAGTCGTCTATTTTCCAGTATTCGCGACAAATAATTATTCTTAGTTCTTCAGTAATATTTTTTTACATTTATACCTACATTTGGTGCAGTTAACGGGCAAAGGCTTCTTTTCTTTAACTGTTTTTAGACTCCTGTTTATATATATATATATATATATATATATATATATATATATATATATATATATATATATATATATATATATATATATATATATATCCGGTTTTTTAGGCGTTACGCCTGTCCGGTAGGGATCTATGGAGGAGTATCACCGAGCCGCAAGCCCTTATCTCTTGCCGTACTGCTCCACCATAGGCCGATCAGATCCCAGCATATCCTAGTCTAAGCCGCAGATTCATCTAGAATTTTAAACTGCTGCGTTAGACTTTTTGTTTTCTGTACACCGAGCTTGGGCTCGATCCCACATCCACTAAACCATTCGACAGTGAAGCGAAGGAGAGGCAGCCGCACAGCCCGTTGAGCTATCTGACCGACAGACTCCTGTTTATATATATATATATATATATATATATATATATATATATATATATATATATATATATATATATATATAAATATATATATCTTTCCACTATGCCTATTTCTCTTCACAATGGACCTTTCCCATAAAAACGTATTACCATGTTTTCTCTTCTTTGTTTTATTGTTTAGTTGTGCGAGCTCTTCCCGGTGTTGTTTAAGGGGCTTTTCCATTATCTGGTCCTCACCTGAGCTTAATTCTGAATCTGAATGAAGGTACGTATGACTCACTAGAATTTTCAAAAAAGTCTCTTTCACTTTCACTGTTCACAGCTCACTTTGTAATCTGCTCACATCTACACACAAAAATTACAAATGTATAAAATAAGGACTATTAGTTACCTAAATTACCCATTTTCTTTATTTGTGAGGTTTTCTCTACAATTACTTGATATAATATTACTTACTTGATATACTTTCCGTAGATAGAATAACCTCAGACGTACTTGTGGACATTTCCTTTTGGTGATCAGTTATAGTAGAATCTAAAAAACAAAACTTTTACTTATAAAATTAAACATGTCTTATAAATTACGTACCAGTTTTCCTTTGCATTAATGCCAATTCTACCATTTTTGCCACCCTGGAAGTCATTTTATTACAGAAAATCAGGAGCACGCACAAAATACTTTTGTCACTCAGTAAACAATATTGTATAATCTCAAAATTAACACGTATAAAGTGGTAGGTACGCCATTTGTTGGATAAACCGTCAAAGAATTGCATGCACAAATGTGGTAGGTGATTTTACAACAAGTGCGCATACAGATTTTAAATGTGAAGTATTTATACTGAATGGCAGATGGCGTTAGAGGTATTAAATTTATGGATTCATTCTATCACCTTTGTGTACAATAATTCTGTATAAATATACTTAAGTGGTACGTAACTTATGTTTCTATTACCCAGGACCTCCACATGAAGAGCACTTGGCTGATTGTTGTGCCTCTATAGCGAATCAAATTGCTATAAGGGGGAAAGGGATGGTCTAGATCATTGGAGCATGGTGGTATGACTCCTGTTTTTACTCGAGTTAGCACACCTTGCTCCAATGAATTGTTACACCCGATCGTACTACCTGGGTGAACATTTCTCATAGGCTGGGTTTAATCAAATTGCTGCTGCTGAACTCATGTTTCTTACAGATTGCACTTACAACATTTGGCCGCTACACCATCGAATTCTTCAGGTGAAAAATTCATATTTAAAATGTAAAATTTTGTATAAAAATACAACTACAACAATAATTTCAGCTTTTGTGACACAACTAGAAACTATTTATTTTATTAAATATTTTGACGGATAAATTTAATGTTTTTTTTTTGGTTCAAAGCATACGTTAAAAGTTTTCAAAATATAGGTACTTACATTAAAAAGTTTTAAATGATCTTACTAAAAATGACTACAGTAGATTTTAAAATTGGTTGTTTATTTAATATAATAAATAATTGATAGATATTGATTACATGTACTATAATAGTATGGTAAATAATATTTTGCAACATGATCAGCTATTAAATTCAACTAATTTTTGTTAGCGTACGTTTTATTTAATATGTTATAATTTGATTAATGTTTAAAAGATTAGATTATATTTTTTAATATTATTGTTTGATAGATATGTATCAGTAGGTACACAAAATTTATTATTAAAAAATCTGCGAAAACATAAAATCTATAGTTTTCTTCTAAATATTTACAAAACGAAACATGCTAAGTATAAATAACCTACTATCTAAAGAAAGTTTAAAATATTATCTACAAAAGGGAATACTAATAAGCAGGGTGTTCAACTTAAAAAAAAAGAAAACATTTTATATTTGAAAATAGGATCCACATTGTATATTGCATGGGTAGATCTCAAAGATATTAAATTATTTAAAAATTAACTTGTACAGAAATAAAACATTTCACATTTGTACGTAGGTATAAAACATTTGATTTAAAGCTTTTTTAAGAAGTGTCGTCAAAATTTATACAGGTGCATAACGTGACGTTTTCGATCTAGTTCAGATCATCCTCAGTGCCTACAAGACACTCAGTGCCTTTGTAATTCAAGCTAACACTAAAATAGTAACTGTGATATCAATATATGGTTTTACATGTTTCAAAATTTAAATTCTAATGTGACCCTAAGTCGATGTCTTTTGATAAAGAGTTAATAATTAAAGAGCAAAAACGACACAGACCCACGTGTCTGTGTTTTAACTGACAAGAACCACGTGTTCAAGTCAAGCAACGAATAATGTTGCTCTTTAAGTATTAAATCTTTATCCAATGTCATCGACCTAGAGTCACATTAGAATTTAAATTTTGAAACATATAAAACCATATGTTGATGTCACATCTACTATTTTAGTGTTAGCTTCAATTACAAAAGAAGGCACTAAGGATAATCTGAACTAGATCGAAATTGTCACGTTATGCACGTGTATAAATTTTAACGAGACTTTTTAAAAAATTTAAATTTTAAATTAAATATTTTATACCTACTTAAAATGTAAAGTGTTTTACTTCTGTAAGTTTTTTAAACGATAGTATACAGCCAACTACTGGGATTTTCCCATTAATTTTTATTTAAAAACTACACTATACTAGAAAAACTTTGACAAGTCATTTACATTTTTCTTAGTGAAAGTAATATATATTTCGAAATTTCTTAACTTTAGACCTATAAAATCAAAAAAGTCATATATTCAAAAAATATATTGAAAACTGATTTAATCTACATTAAAATGCTATTAAAACAAAAAACGTCTTTGATGATATAAACAAAAATAATTTTAAATTATAGACCGATTTAATAAACATAATTTTTGTATATTATGATATTTAGTTAGTAATCATCACGTAGCGCTACAACCCTGGGTGGTCTTGGCTGACTGTACAACTTTTTTCCAATTTGTTCGGTCTTCCATCAACCTAGGGTCAAATGGAATGTACATTTTCTGGAGATCTGCTTGGATGTTATCTCTCTTTTATGTTATCTGTCTTTTGCCTGTGGGAATCTCCTCCCATACCAGTTTTACAAGTGTTTCGTTATGCTGTCTGTACACGTGGCCTGCCCATCTTAGTCGCTGTGATTTAATTTCTTGAACAATATCGGCGTCGTTGTAGAGTGCTTTTAATTCGATATTGGTTCTGATCTTATACTGGTTTGTGGTGATGTCATGGTAAGGTCCGAAAATGTTTTTTTCGTTCAAAGCGTCTGAGCTTTTCTTCGTTGGCTTTGGTCATAATCCACATTTTGCATCCGTATGTTATTACAGGTCTGACGATGGAGTTATAGATTTTGATCTTTGAACTTTTTGTGAGAGTTTTTGATTTTATTAGCTTATCCAGTGCAAATAGACAGCGGTTTGCAGATTAGATTCTGTCTTTTATTTCTTTAGTGACATCGTTGTCAGCTATGATTACGGCCGCCAGATACTTAAACCATTGTACGTTTTCGAAATTGAAGGTGTTGACCGTCACATTTTGTCCTATTATGTCTCTTCGTGTCGTTCTATTTATACACATACATTTCGTCTTCTCTTCATTAATCTTCAGCCCTACTTCAATTGTTGCTCATTCCACCTTGTTGAAAATGTCTTTCGTGGATAGGATGGAGTCTCCAACGAGATCTATGTCATCTTCATATGCGAGTAACAGCTTGGAACCTTGAACTGATAGCAATTCTGTTTTTATTTCGGCCGACCTCATGGCTTTCTCTAATACAAGGTTAAAAAGTAGTGGATATAACGCATCACCCTGTTTAAGTCCACTGTTGATTTCAAAGCTGCCAGACAGTTTATTGTTTACACGTACTTTAGATATTCCACCCTCCATACAGACTTTGGTCATCCGAATGAGTTTCTTTGGTATTGAGAACTCCACCAAAGCATTCCATGCTTGGCTTCTTTTTACGCTATCATATGCCTGTCAAAAGTCTATAAAATGATTGCGTATGGGTCTGTTATACTCCCATGCCTTTTCTAGAAGTTGTTTCGGCGTGAACAGTTGATCTATTGTTGATCTGTTTGCCCTAAACCCGGCTTGATATTCGCCTAGGACATTTTCAGCATAAGGGATTAGTCTACTAAGAATGATGTTTGAGAGGGTTTTGTATGCCGTGTTTAGAAGTGAGATTCCTCTATAATTCGCGTATTTTGTTTTATCCCCTTTTTTATGGATGGGCACTATTATGTATTCCTTCCATCGTGCTGGTATTCTTTCTTCTAACCATCTGTGCGTTATTAGCTGGTGGATTTGGCAATGTAGTGCATCTCCTCCATATTTCAGAAGTTCTGCTGTTATCTCCTCAGTACCCGGCGCTTTGTGATTTTTGATATTGATATTTAGTTAGTGTAGTTTAAAAATTATATTATGTTTAATAGATATGCTTTTCAAATTTTTCATCTTTATCAAAGGAAATATATTAATTTGTTATCATAAGCAAATGTCTTGAAAAAGGAAATAAAATGAACGAAAGCTCGACTAAGCTCAAAGAAGTTTACTTGTATTAGCCCAAATCAATTGACTGTAATCCCCAAGAATCTTAGAAAATGTAACAACAAATATGAAAAGGCGCATCAGATTATTATGGATAGCTTTTGGCAAATTAATTATATTATTTAATAAGTGTATACTCACAACTTTAGCTTATACAATTAATAGTTACAAAGGAAAATATTGCTATAATAGCAAAACCCTAGGCTTCAGTGAAACGGCAAGTGTATTTAAACCTTTAAAATTGTAAAAGAAATTACAATGGTCTGAACAATTACAAAAGTGGTGAGATATAATTATTAGAAGCCAAGTTGTAAAACTAAAATTTAACTTTGCAGATAATCCATTCTACAGGATAGTAAGAAATTGAATAAGCAGATAATATTTTGGAAACTATTCGAATAAAAAATGACTAGAAATAAGTTTGAATAAAGTCAATAATAATTGCACTGGATAAGGATCTATAAAAATGCCTAAAAATGTATAGAATAAAGGTAGGTGAATAAAAATATATTTAACACATACCCGTAAAAGGTCATATGGATGTTGAAGTATTTCACTCAAGAAAGACGTATTAACACCGAAACAACTGTGGTGAATTTAATAATTATTTAAAATATAATTCTACGCGTCACGTCACCCACTGTAACATTCTCACTAAGAATAACGAAAAATTTACTGATTTGAACCGCTTTATTTGTAGGCAATAAAATCGACACTACTATAAGTAGTATAGTATAGTAGTAATATGACCGAACTCATGTCAGAACAATAAAACTATTATAAATCCCTCCAGAGAATTCACACATTTCGTTTTGAGTATCTTATTGATTATAAAATAGAAGTAATAATTTATTGAGAAGTGAAGGTTAAGTCCTTCACGTTCAGACCAAACTTTTAATAATTTTAATGTTTCCATGTGATTATGAACTTGACATTTAGCATTTGGGTTTAGTATTATATTTATTACAGTGTAATATAAAACTGTGAGTTTAATGAGTATAAAAAAAATTATTAGGTATGTATGTTTCAAAGGCAAAAATGATATTTAATACGTATTGTATTTTCCCTTTGAAGATTGTATTATATTTGTATATAATATATTT